TTTAATGGCTCCCCTTCACATGTGGGATTAAATTCAGCATCTTTACCTTCGCTTACATTTCCTAAAGATCTGGCTCTTGCATACCCATACAACTCATTTAATGCCCCTCACTCTCCTCCAGCCATTCTGGTGTATTTTATGTTTTTGTCCTTTATGGTCTTTGTATATTGCTCTTTTGTTTGTCTAGAATGTTCTTTCTCTTGCTCTTCCTAGGTCTGGCTCTTCTTAAAATTTAGTCTTAGCTTCTCTTTCTCAGAGAAGCCTTCCCTGACTACTCTGTATCTACCATACAAACATACCCCTCCTCATTTCAGCACCCTGGTTTTATTCTTCAAAACACTCACCATAATCTTTAAAGGTTTATTTTGTTTGTCAGCTTACTTATTGAAGGTCTCTTCCCAATTAGACTGAAACTCTGAAGATATGATTTATTAGATAAAAGAATTAGGGTGGGGGCCATTTCAGTTTCATTCACCTGAACCCTGAACCTGGCCTAGCATTGGGTCTGTACATAGTAAGCAACCAAATATTTGTTGAAAGAATGGCTGGATTTTTTGAGATATTTCTATATATTAAGCTTTGTGCTAGGCCTTGGGATCACAATATTGAGAAAGACAGACTTCCATCCATACCTACCCAAATAGCCCAATCTATTAAAAATTTATTGTGGACCAGTGGTTCTCAAGCTTTTTGGTCTTAAGACTCATTTATGCTCTTGAAAATGATTGATGACCCCAAAGAATTTTTGCTTATGTGGGTTATACCTATCAATACAAAGACATGGTTTTAGAAATTAAAAAGTCAGGAGATTTCAATACCCCACTTTCAAGAATGGATAAATCGCCCAGACTGAAAATCAGTAAGGAAACAGTAGACTTGAACAATACTGTAGACCAAATGGACATATACAGAACATTCTATCCAACAGCAATAGAATGCACATTCTTTTCAAGCAGACACAGAACATTCTCCAGGATAAATCATATGTTAGGCCGTAAAACAACTCTTAACAAATTTAAGATTGAAATCATATCAGTATCTTTTCTGACCACATTGGTATGAAACTAGAGAATCAATAACAAAAGGAAAATTGGAAAATTCACAAATATGTAGAAATAAGACAACGTACTCCTTAACAACCTGTGGGTCAAAGAAGACATAAAGGGGATAAAAAATTTCTTGAGACAAATGAAAATGGAAGTATAACATACCAAAACTTATGGGATGTAGGAAAAGCAGTTCTAACAGGGAAGTTTATAGTGATAAATGCCTATATTTAGAAAAAAGAAGATCTCAAATAACCAAACTTTACAACTCAAGAAACTAGAGAAAGATGAGCTAAGAATAAAGTGAGCAGAAGGAAGGAATAAAGATCAGAGCAGAGATAAATGAAATAGAGACTAGAAAAACAATAGAAAAATCAATGTTTTTTTAAGAAGATAAATAAAATTGGCTAAATTGTGTTATCTGGACTTGGAAAAGAAGAGAGAATACTCAAACAAAATCAGAGATGAAAAAGGATACATTACAACTGATGCCACAGAAATACAAATGAACATAAGAGACTACTACAAACCAGTATATGCCAACAAACTGGATAACCTAGAAGAAATGTATAAATTTCTAGAAACATACGGTCAACTCAGACCAAATCACAAATAGAAAATCTGAGCAGATCAATAATGAGTAAGAAGATTGAATCTAATCAAAAATCTCCCAACAAAGAAAAGCCTAGGACCCAGTGCCTTCACTGGTGAATTCTACCAAACATTTAAGGATGAATTAATGCAAACCCATTCCAAACTTTTCCAAAAAATTGAAGAGGGAACACTTTCAGACTCATTTTATGAGGCTAGCGTTAGCCCTGGTGCCAAAGCCTGACAAGGACACTGCAAGAAAAGAAAACTATAGGCCAATATCTATGATGAACATAGAAGCAAAAATCCCCCCCAAAATGCTAGCAAACAAGATTCAACAACACATTAAAAGGATCACACATCATGATCAAGTGAGATTTATCCAAGGGATGCAAGGATGGTTCAAGATATACAAATCAATGAATGTGCTACACATTAACAGAGTGAAAGATAAAAATCATATGAGCATCTCAATAGATGCAGAAAAAGCACTTGACAAAACTTTCATCATAAAACTTCTCAACAAATTAGGTATAGAAGGAATGCATCTCAACAAAGTCCATATATGACAAGTCCACAGCTAACAACTACTCAGTGGTGAAAAAAATGGAAGATTTTCAGCTAAGATTAGGAACAAGACAAGGATGTCCACTCTTGCCACTTCTTTTCAATATAGTACTGGAAATCCTAGTGAGAGCAATTAGGAAGAAAAAGAAATACAAGACATATAAATTGGAAAGGAAGAAGTAAAATTGTCTCTGTTTGCAGATGACATGATCTTATATATAGAAAACCCTAAAGATGCCACCAAAAACTTTTAGAACTGATTAACTAATTCAGAAGTGTAGCAAGATTTAAAATCAACAAATAAAAATCAGTAGTATTTCTGTACACTACTAATGAACTGTTCAAAAAAGAAATCAAGAAAACAATCCCGTTTACAATACCATAAAAAATATTTAGGAATAAATTTAACAAAGGAGGTGAAAAACCTGTGTACTGAAAACTGCAAGATGCTAATGAAAGAAATTGAAGAAGGCACAAATAAATGGAAAGATATCTTGTGTTTATGTATGAGAAGAATTAATATTGTTAAAATGTTCATACTACCTAAAGCAATCTACAGATCCAATGCAAGCCCTATCAAAATTCCAATTACATTTTTCACAGAAATAGAAAAAAAACTCCTAAAATTCTATAGAACCACAAAATACCCTGAATAGCCAAAGAAATCTTGAGCAAAAGGAACAAAGCTGGAGGCATCACACTACCTGATTTCAAAATCTCCTACAAAGCCATAGTAATCAAAACAGCATAGTACAGCACAGAAACAGACATATAGACCAATAGAACAGAATAGAGAGTACAGAAATAAATCGACATATTTATGGTTAATTGATTTTCAATGAAGGTGAAAAGAACACATAATAGGGAAAGGACAGTCTCTTCAATAAATGATGTTGATAAAACTGGGTATACACATGCAGAAGGATGAAATTTGACCCTTATATCACACCATATGCAAAAATCAACTCAAAATGGTAAAGACTTAAATGTAAGAGTCGAAACTGTAAAACTACTAGTAGAAAACATAGGGAAAAAACTTCTTGACATTGGTCTGGGCAATGATTTTTTGGATATGACCCCAAAAGAATAGGCAACAAAAGTGAAAACAGACAAATGGGATTGCATCAAACTAAAAGGCTGTTGCACAGCAAAGGAAATAATCAACAGAGTGAAGCGGCAGCCTAGGAAATAGGAGAAAATATTTGTAATCCATACATCTGATAAGGGGTTAATATACAAAATATATAAAGAATTTAACTCACAATAGCAAGAAAATAAATCTGATTTAAAAATTGGCAAAGGACATGAACAGACATTTCTCAAAAGAAGACATACAACAGGTGTATGAAGAAATGCTCAGCATCAGTAATCATTAGGGAAATACAAATTTAAACCACAATGAGACATTACCTCACACCTCTTAGAATGGCTGTTATATAATAAATAAATACATACATACATACATAAATAAATAAATAAATAAATAAAAAGTATTGGCAAGGAGAAAAGGGAGCCTTTGTGTACTGTTGCTTGGAATGTAGATCAGTGCAGCCGTTATGGAAAAGAGTATTGATATTCCTCAATAAATTAAAAATAAAATGACCATATGATCCAGCAGTCCCACTTCTGAGTATATATGCAAAGGAAATGAAATTAGTGTACACTTCCATGTTAATTGCAGCATTATTATTAGCCAAGATATATAATCAACCTAATTGTCCATGGATGGATGAATAAATAAAGAAAATGTGTTATATATACACTATTCAGCCTTAAAAAAAGAAGGAAACTGTTATTTTGACATCATCTTTGAACCTGGAGGATGTTATGCTAAGTGAGATCAGCCAGACACAGAAAGACAAATACTGCATTATTTCATTTATATGTGGAATCTAAAAAACTTGAACTCATTGAAGCAGTAGAATAGTGGTTGTTGGGCTGTGGAGTCAGGGAGATGAGGAGATGTTGGTCAAAGGGTGTAAAGATTGTTAGGTTGAATAAGTTCTGGAAATCTATTTCACAGCATAATGACTGTAATTAATGGCAATGTATCATTGTACAGTTGACCCTCCATATCCATGAATTTCACATCCATGGGTTTTGCATCCATGGATCCAACCAACCATGGATCAAAAATACCATTTAAAAAAAATGTGTCTGTACTGAACATGTACAGACTATTTCTTTTCATTATTCCCTAGACCATATAGTATAACAACTATTTACATAGCATTAACATTGTTTTAAGTATTATAACTAATCTAGATATGATTTAAAGTATACAGAAGGATGTGCATGAGTTATGTGCAAATATAGCCTTAATGAAGAGGTGATGTTCTGAGAAATGGGAAGTTAGGTGATTTTGTTGTTGCGTGATCACAGAGTGTACTTATGCAACCTAGATGGCATAGCTTACTACATGCCTAGGTTATACACAGCACATTGCTCCAACCACTATTGTATATGCAGTCCATTGTTGACCAGAATGTCATTATGGAGCACATGACAGTCCTATGCCATTTTATATCAGGGACTTGAGCATCCATGGATTTGGGTATCCTTGGGAGGTCCTGGAACAAATCATCCAACGACACCAAGGGATGATTGTATATTTGAAAATTCCTAAGACAATAGATCTTAAATGTTCTTACTACGAAAAATGGTATGTGAGGTGATGGATATGTTGATTAGCTTGATATAATCCTTTCACAATGTATGCATACTATCAGAACATGTACACCATATATATACATTTTAAAATTTGTCAGTTATACCTTAATAAAGAAAAAAACTAAATCACAATTTAAATGTGTATTTATTAATTTAAAATAACAGTAGTAAACCCATTACAAGTTAATATAAGCAACATTTTTTAAATTAAAAAATGACTTAATTTTCAGAACAAAAGGTTACTGAGAAGAGTTGCATTGTTTTACACCTTTACAAATCACTTTAGCATCTGACTTAATAGAAAACATATGGATTCTGCTTTAGCATTGAATCTGTTATGCTACAGGTCATATAGCCTCAGGAAAATGCCACTGTGCTCTTGGGAAAGAAGTGAAAACTACTGTTGTGAACAATTTAGAAGACAATACTTTTGATTAAGATGATGCTATGAATTTGTGAGTCCACACTTCAAACTAATCTCTTTTTAATGTAATCTTGTGATGATAGAAATAAGATGTCATATGGACCAAAAATTGAACAGAAAAATGCAAAGATGTATGGAGTTGAAGACATAAATCTGCTGGACTTCTGATCTTGAAATAGGCAGAGATAGTTAAGAATTTGACCTTTGTGGGGTAATGAGGTATAGAAGCACCCCGTTCAAATCGTGGTCCCAGGCTCATTGTATAAGACAGGAGCTGGGGTGGGAGACTCTCCTGACATGAAAGGAGCCTAAAAAAAAAAAAAAAAAACAGTGATGTTACCTAGGGCTCCAACTTGCATTATGCATAGTGGCGGGGGATAAAAACAGAGACATGCAGAGAGGACTCAGTCTAAGCTTTAATTTTGCTCAATGACTAATTTATCACTTTGTCACATGGCACAGAGTCCCCAGTTAACAATGTAAGACTTGTCTCTGGACTGTGTTTCTCAGTGGTGAAGCAGAGACAACCAAAAAACTGCTAGATGTGGAGGGAAAAGAAGTTGTGGGGTGGCGGGGGGAATGATATTCACTAGGAAAAACACTTAGAAACAAAACTTGAGAGGCACCAAGTTAAACTTAGGAAAACTTAACAATAAACAAGACAGCAAAATTATCAATCAGGACACAAATTCCTCTCCTGACAAAATGCAATTCACATCAAGCAATTTCAGTGCGACTTTACAGTTCTTGAAGGGATAAAGAATACTATCCATAAAATGTTCATCCATTTGAGAAAGGTGGATATAAAAAGTACCAATTAGAAACCTTAAAACTGAAAAAATATAGCCACTGTAATGAAAACATCTAGAGAAACTCTATACCAGATGCAGTTAAAAAGAGTAGTTGCTCGGGCCGGCCCGGTGGCGCACTGGATAGTGCGCTGCTTGGGAAGCGCGGCGGCGCTCCCGTCCGAGGGTTC